CAGATAAATAATTCCTCCATGTCAACAACCACAGTACAAGTAATTAATATTTTATCCCTGATCTCCAGAGAGGAAAATTGTGTCAGTGAAAGATTAGCAGTATAGTACTGTAAAAATACATTCTCTAAATTCATGATGGATTTTGTAACATACCATACTGTGCCTGTTATTTTTTGTGCATTAGCATATGACTAGTTATTAAAGGAAAATATGGGTCTTTTTGTAAAGATCCTTTTATCAGCTTTCCTCTGTCACTATCCAGAGCCTTTCCTGTGTACAGTAACTATGTACAAGTTGGTTATTATAGCGGGTTTATTTTATGTTACATTGGATCAGACATTCAGTAAACTATGTTCGGTTTTTAGCAAATGAATGTGCCCCTCTGTGGCACAAGCTGTAGTTAAAGGCAAAATTTATGAGGTAGTAATTACTCAGTTCCTGCTAGCTGCCATGTTGTTGCTAAAGTAACACAATGGCTTCTACTGAAATAAAATGGCATATTTTTTGTTAGTTTTGGCTTCTGTTGAACAAGAGTGTTCTGTAAATGTTTATGGACTCTGTGCTCAGTAAATGTATTAGAATATACAATGATGGATGCAACACCGTTGGTTCAGTGTAATTGTGAACCATGTGCTCAAACCATGCTGCTAACACTTCACAGTCTGACACATTACATGGCCAGACGTGAGTACGTTGTAAATACCTAGAATTATGTAAGGAGTTGTGCTGATTTATTGTTATGTAGGATGTTTTTTCTTAAAAAAAATCAAAAATATAAAAAGAAAAATGTGATCCTTATCAGAGTATCAGTTAGTACTTAATTATATTTTGACTTCAAATTATATTTTTTACCTTTAAAAAGTGTTGTGGGGCTTTTACAGTGTAAAACAATCTTGCTATCTGTATTTCTGTCCTTTTAAAGAACCTTTTAGTGATCCTGTATTTGATTATGGGCATGGTCATGGACTGGTGAAATTACCTTTTTTTGTAAAATTACATTTTATTTATACATAATTAGGTACACATACATATATATAGATATGTATGTATGTATATATTATCAATATGGATGCATAAATATATATCCCTAACTAAGCTTTTCAGCACACTTTCATGTTTTTGAATATTGAGTTTTCCCACAGACTGGTGGGTATCATTTTTGTCTCTCCCTTTTCATACATTTCAGCCTCCCTGTATATTCCAGATTCAAAAAAATTATTGAGTAACATTCATTTTTTGTAAATAAAATTTATGTTTGCAGACAAATACTTAGAAGAATTCCCAGAATTTTTAAATGAGTATAGAACATCTAGTTACTGTTGTGCAATTTCTGTGACTACTTGGCACAGAGTGAAGAAATTTGCAAAGGATGAAAAGTGAAGATACAACAGGGAGTTTCTTTTATAGAAGAATCTTGCTGAACTGAGGATCAATTCAAAAGGGTTATAGAGAAAATAGTGTAAGAACCTGAAAATATAATAGAGCATATTTTGCCATTAATTATATAATTCAATTGCTAATCATGCGTACCCTACTCAACTATGCACGTAAATTAGTAATTGCTATTAGCTGTTGAAGGTTATTTTTATACATGGATTTTTGTTCCTCACCTATATGGTACCCATAATGAGACCTGCACTGGGATATATGAACTTGAGGAGTCTAGATCCAGAGACAGTGATGCACTTCAAGGCAAAGTCCTTAGCTGTACTTCCTTATCACCCTTTAGATATTGTTCCAGTTTTAGAGCTGAGTCTTCTGAAAAGTCCCCATCTCTGATTTAATTATTCTGATCATTTTATCTGCTGCACAGGGCTTTTCTCAGAAGTCTGTGACATTGCCTTCTTTTCATATTTGATAGATGACCTAAACACGTCAAACTAATTTATCTGAGAATTCTTAATGCAAATATAGCCAAGGATCATCATGTACCTGCAGGACATCCACTGGGATGTAGTAAGTATGTTAAATTTAAGTGAGAAGTCATTACAACAATTAAAGAGTCCAATATCAATTGGGAAAATGCTGCTTTTTCATAGAACACACTTGTCATGAAACTGGATACCTAGCTTGAAACGAAACTGAATACCTGTGGAGTTTTTTCCGATTCTAGATTTTGAATAGAATTTTGTAAGGTGCTTCTTTCCTTGCGGTAGAAAGCACAGTTTCCAAATCACCTTCATAGTTTGAGATTCCCAGAGTTTTCATACCAAAAGAGAATTTTTGGATGCTTCTTTCTTAAAGTTACTCTGTAGTTTTCAAGGGACATAGGTACTTCTGCCTTCTCTGGATTCTTTTCTCTAGGAAAAGAAACAAACAAAAGGAATGGTGTAGCTTTCCTCTGAAATTAATGTTCTTTGCTTTTTATACAGACAGAAATAATATGGAAAAATCACTTGGGTGTGGTGAAAAACAAGTACCTGTTTCCTCAGTTGTACATCACAAATGAGGAATGGAGTTACCATTTGCTCTGACTCATACATCAAGGTGCCCTTCTGTTGGAAAGGACTCTGCCCAAAAAACTCCATACTGCTTACTCCTTACTGATTTTACAAAAGTGGGGGTTTAAAAAAAAAAAAACAACAAACAAACAAAATAATTCCACATTCACTATTTTTACAAGCTATAGGCCATTACAGGTCACAACCTCCCTCTGACAGACTCCTCTGCAGTGTTTGCCTTGGGGACTCCAAGGCCTTCACCAGCTCCAGAAATGCCTCCACAGTCACTGGCTTCTCAATTTAGAAATGCCTTTCCAAACCTGAACCCTCAAAATGGATACTATGTCTTTTCACTTAAATGATTGGCTTTCCTTCTACCAAATCAGAAAGAGGCCATGTACTTCTCATGTGGTCATCCCGTATCTCCATTGCTGCCTTTCGTACCTACTGAGAAGTTTTCTTCCATGTACAGCTGACAGCCAGGTGTCATAAAACCTTCAACTTTGATCATTCAAATAAAGTTCTTGTTTATGATTTCATTAGTAATCACCCCATATCTATGTCTAGTTAAAAAAAAAATATAGCATTGTGTTGTAAAATGAGAGATAATCTGTGACTATTAGTGGTTTCGAAAAGAGATGGTGTTGCAGTTGCTTTTTCCATTTTGGTAACTGTATTTTATGTGGTTTAATAGACACTGCTGGGCTGTGTGTCAGATTCAAAACTTCAGTTTTCATCACTCTCAGTAAAATTGCT